AAAAGAAAGCGACGAATTATTGTATACGGTTTGGTCACTCGTTATGGTCCGCAATCAGTTGCCAGCGCAAGTGGTTAACCTGCCACGCACGTCGAGAATTGTTTGTCCCAAAATTGCAATATTTTCCCAGTTTTAAGTATATTTTAAGTATAATCCAGGCAAAACAAATAATAAATTTATTATTTCTTAATAATTTCTATTCAGTGATGTACCGACGAGTTCGAAAAAAAAGCGACGAATTATTGTATACGGTTTGGACACTCGTTATGGTCCGCAATCAGTTGCCAGCGCAAGTGGTTAACCTCAAAAATGTAATATTTTCTCAGTTTTAAGTATGTTTTAAGTATAACTCGGGCAAAACAAATAATAAATTTATTACTTATCAATAATTTCTATGCAGTGATATCATACTGACGAGTTTGAAAAGAAAGCGACGAATTATTATATACGGTTTGGTCACTTGTTATGGTCCGTAATCAGTTGCTAGCGCAAGTGGTTAATAAGAACGCTGTTTCTCTGAAAGAAAAGATATTCTCTTTGTAAAAAATTTTGCACAGATCGACAATACACCTAAAATATTACTCTTACGCGTCTAATTCGGCCCACAGAGGGTTAATTCGTGTTATTATCTGTCTCATACGCTGAAAAGTTGGAAAGCATGTCTCGTTGCGTCCAAGCAACAATCGCTAGCGATGGAGATTAGACACGTGTTTGTGATAGTATTTTAGGAGTTAGTTATTCCGTCGATCCGTGTGAAATTTTTGTACAAGAAGAGTATTTCTTTTAAACGAGCCAAGAATCCACGTTCTTATTAAACACACTGTATATACATAATTTGTTCTTGTTCGCGAGTTCCGAGCTGCGTAAGATCACTAGCGAATTCCTCTGGAAGGAGGAGCGACAGGATGACGAGGAAGAAGGTGAATATTGCGCGCAGATGTGCGAGCGACCTTATCGCGAGTCTTGATTGGTTTCAGAATGGAACGAAGCATGCAGTTTGAACGAGCGCGTGCACGGGCGCCTTCGATAGCTTTGGTGGTTTTTTCTTGGTGTTCTTGGCGCGAGCAGCGAACGGGAGGCGCTATAAAGTTGCGTACACCGCGAAGGAGCAGGTGATGGTGAAAGGGTAGGCCGTGTCGCCGGTAACGATCGCGCGACTCACTTTCGCGTGCGTGTGCGTCAGGTGTGGAGTCGCAACGCATCGTGAAATTCATCTCGGTTCGTATCAGGAAGGAAACTCACGTTTTCTTTTTTGCCCGATCGGGTGAATCATGGTCAGACGCATCGTGCAAAATGAAAAGCATCTGTGGCCGCTGTAAGTACCTCTGTATAGCTTATTTACTTATGTATATATGTATGCGCGGAGCGATCGACGTCGAAATCGAGCGATAACAGCGGCGTTTGAAATTCGATTTGCGTCGACTCTAAGCGTTGCGTTATCATCGTCGACCGATCTCGAAACTCGGGAGAGAAAGTTAGGATTCTCCGGCTCTGGGACGTCAGGTGCAAATTTTCGACCGTGCCTGAGCAACCGACCGCTCGAACGAGGAAATTTCAAAGACAAGCGTTACGACAGGTGGACGCGCGGAGTCTCGAACCTGCCCGGCTGGCTGGCAAATGTGCGAGCGTGCCTCCAAAACCGGAAGCTGCTCGAGCTAGCTCGATCTTCGTGCACTTTGTTACGCGGTAATTTACTTTCTTTTTGCTCGTCGCGACAGAGTCAACGATGGTAGTTAATAGCACACGTCTGCACGATCTATATAGACCGCGTTCGAAAATTACATACATACAAGTAGACATGTATAAAATAAAATTAAAGAATAAATTTAAGTAAAGTTGGAAATTGACCTTTGAGAAAAATCGAATTCGAAAATTTCTCAAGTATATTGAATTTGGCTGTTTTCAGACTGAATGACAAGACGCTGTTCAATGATACTAGTTAATTATTATAACATATACCTATGGAAGTATATACAGGTAGGTGTAAATAGGAGATGATAGTTATAAAATGAAATAAAATAAAATAAAGTAAAATTTCATTGGGAATTAAGCTTCAAGAAAACTGAATTTGAAAATTTCTTAGGCATACTTGAACTTGGCTGTTTTCAGACTGAATGACAGGAGGTTTTTCAATAATGATAATTGTTATAATATATACTTATACAAGTATCCAGAGCGCGGCCGAAAATTATACGCAAGTACATATGTGCAAATATGAAATGAAATAAAAATTAACATTTAAGAAAATCGAATTTAAAGATTTCTTGGGCTGTTTTCAGATTGAACGACAAGAGGCTGTCCAATGATGGTAGTTTGTTTACCTATGCAAATATACAGAGCCGAAAATTATATATACAAGCAGGCGTAAATACGAAGTAAAATTTCACTGGAAATTAACCTTGGAGAAAATTCTTTGGACACACTTGAACTGCTACTTCTAAACCGAATGACAAGTGGCTGGCCCACGTGTGAAAATCAGTAGGAAGTAAAGTTTTTTTCATTTTCACGTTATGGAAAACGCGTTTCGTTTCGGAATACATAATACGATTGAAAAACGACGACGTTGATTCGAACGGAATTCCCATTTTCCAGGCAGAAAAACGAAGCGTCGCGTGACGGTGGCGTGTGCCCGCGGGGGCGTTGGATTTCTGGTTTCGTGGAATCGCGTGCTAGCTTGACCACCTCTCTCTCTTTCAAGAGAGAAAGAGAGAGAGAGAGAAAGAGAAAGAGAAAGAGACGATGGCTTCACCGTGGTTGTTCGCAGCGGAGGACGTCAACTCTCGGCGCGGCTACAGCCTACCTACGAGAAGACTGGAAGAAGAGGATGCAACCGACCGTTTTACCACGGTCGTTGGAGCGCCGCCGGGCAAACCCGGAGATGGCAGAGAGTGTGAGATGCCGTGCGGTGTGTGCCGGTCCAGTCTGATTGGGTTCGGTTCGGCTCGGCTCGGGGTTCGGTTTGCCTCAGTACCGTTCGCAACGTCGATGCGCACCTTAAACGTGGGCGGATCGGCCGGTCAGCCGCCCCGGGTGTTTCTCACCCGCATGCCTGGCATACGTGCCGCTCATCCTCGCCCCTTTTCTTTTTCCTCGTCCCATCACCACTTCTTGCCGTGCCGCGCCGTACCTTTCTCTCTCTCCTCTTCTCTCCTTATCGCGTCTCGTCTCGTCTCGTCTCGTCGCGTCGCGTCGCGTCGTCTGGGCTACCGGTTCTTTTTCCATCGCCTCCTCTCTCGTTTCGCGATCGCGATCGGTCTTTGCCTCCGAATTTGGTTCTCACCAGTTCGGTAGATAAGCGCTTGCTTCTTCTTCACCTTTCGCCATTCGTCCGCTGCTCCTCTGTCATGTCTTCGCGATTTCACGAGAGATGTAACAAACGGAGGCGGCGAAAGAGAGATGAAAGCCAGAGCGAAAATCGCTGTTGAGAGAAGATGGAGAGAGGGAACGCGCGCAAGAGAGAGAGAGAGAGAGAGAGAGAGAGAAAAGGTTGCGTTGAACGTTGGTTCTCGCATTGCCCCGAGGACGTTCCCATGAATCGGCGGGGGCGGCAGGAAGGCAGTTCGCCGCGATGAGAATCGTTTCTCCGGTACTCGAGGGCATCGGCGTTCCTCGGCGAGGAGATCGGTGCGTGCCTGCCCGACTGCGTGCCTGACTGCGTGCAACCGTTCTCTTTCCAGCAACGCGTCATTACCAGAAGAAGAAGCCTTAATAATCGGCTAGTCTCCTCTTGCGTTCCAAAGTTCAACTCAACAGCGAAATCGCTCGATGTCGATTATATCTCGGAAATTTACACCGTCGATTACTCGAGATACGTGGCGGGTACATCTCCCGCGACTCTTCGATCCTCGATCGAAGAAACAAAAATTGCCCAAACGTCGTCGTAATGGTCGTACTTTGTCAATTTTTTTCTTCGAATCGTTCCGATGATATATTACCTTCGCCGACCGTGGCATTGTATTTTTCCGTGGACCGACGTGACGCCACGCGTCGTTGAGCTTGAGAGTCGCGCGAAAAGCCTATCCGACGCGTAGCGAATACCGCGATCAGGAACGCATACGAAGCTCAAGTTGGTCGATCGATCGGCCGCGTCGATAAACAGCAAGCAGGCGAACTTACGCGAGCGTCGTCGCATTCGCGTCGAATTGACGCTCGATGGTAAATGCGGAAAGCTCGATGGTAACGGCTACGTTGTCCTCGTGGACGATACACCCGGTTGCTGGAGACTATAGTCCGAGACGGCATACTTCGAGCGCTAATCGAACACTGGAGGCACGACCGTGCGGATTATCGCGTGCTTGTCTGTTGACAAAAGTTTAGCTTATAAAGCTGATTAAACCTTAGTTAATCACAACGGAATAGGAAAGTATTCGACGAAGGAAGCTGCCAGATTGGTCGACGACCAATCGATCCGCCTGTTCGCCTGATCAACGATCCGTTGAGCGGGCGGTCCCGCGCGGCAAACTTCACCGCGTGCTTCACCTCCGCTGCTCTTCTGCACTCCTTTTCTCTCTGACATAGCGATTGAATTTGGTAGCGCAGTCCGCGGATGCCTCGCATTCTATCGCGTTCGTCTTCTTCTGTGTGCACGTGTGCATGTGTGTATGTGTAGGTGTGTGTGTGCGTGTGTGTTTACTGTGCATCTTGAGCGACTTATTTACATCGGTATCGGCCTCGTTTAACGCTTTACGCGACTGTTTCAGAGGCGTGCGTCGATTAACAAATCGTTACTTTGCTACCTCTCTTCTGCCTCTTTACGTCAAACGAACGTTGGACGAACGTTCTGTGATTCCGTTCGGAGTGTTAGAAATGGTTCGCTGGTCTGGAAAAGTCTGATAATTTCCAATTTGCGTTTTCATTCAAAAATGTTTAACACTTAACAATAGAACTAACCTCTTGCGCTGGAATGATGTGCTACGCACGTCGAGACTTTTTTGTTCCAAAATTGTAATATTCTCAGTTTTAAGTATATTTAAGTAAAACGAATAATAAATTTATTACTTCTCAATAATTTCTATCCAGTGATATCGTACCGACGAGTTCCAAAAGGAAGCGACAAATTATTGTATACGGTTTGGTCACTTCTTATGGTCCGCAATCAGTTGCCAGCGCAAGTGGTTAACCTCAAAATTGCAATATTTTCTCAGTTTTAAGTATATGTAAGTATAACCCAGGCAAAACAAATAATAAATTTATTACTTCTTTGTAATTTCTATCCAGTGAATATACCGATGAATTCAAAAAGACGAATTATTGTATGGTCACTCGTTATGGTCCGCGAACCAGTTATTAGCGCAAGAAGTTAACGTATGACATTGAAGCCAAAAAGAAAAAAATGAAGAAATTTTACAATACAGGCTTTCATTTATTTTACGAAAAATTATCTAAACAAGAAAACGTTGTTTCGTGTCAGAAATTCTAAATTGGTTTGATCATTTCGGTAGGTCTAGTGTTAACGATAAATGCAAATCGTAAAAGATTCGGGAGTTTAGCAGCGCGAGATAAGCCGCGGTGAATGGATCATGATCGCGGCTGCGCGGGGAGGTCGGGCGAACGAAAAAAGGCGCGAATAACTCCTGAACGGACTGCGTTCCTGGTACATCGGCAGAGCGCCGCAGCGCCACGCGTCACGGCGAGCATCATCGCAACGCGCGGCGCCTATACGCCGGTCATCGCGACGCGGATGCGCCGGCTGGTCGCCGCGTGTTCGTTGCCTGGTTGCCGCTTGCTGCCGCACGCCGATCGCATTCCTACTTCCTTTGCTCCTCGGTCCGCTCGTACATTTTCATACTGTTGCCATAGCAGTGGCTGTGTCCTTTGTTCCGTGTGCGTACATAGGTTATGTTTCATCCAGTGGGATGTTTTATTCAAGCTCAGTGTCTAGCTACGATTATCGTCCCTATGATCTGTGATCAGTCTGAGGAAATGGGATCTGAATCGAATTGAAAGACTAGGTTAGATTGCTCGAATTTGAGAAAAGATTCTCAGAGCCACAAACGATGATTGTCTTCATTGCCGACTGTCGATAAATCCTTCATGGATAAAGTGACAAAATGTGAAGAAATTCAGAGGGAAGAAATTACAAATGGTTAATTTTATTAATCAATAGTTTCTATATATAGAAAAATATATATATATATATATATATTTAATAAATATTTAACAAATATATATATATAGATAAATTTCAAACTTATGTGAAATTTATTGTACATACTTTTACCTATATTCGCGAACAATTTTGATTCAAATATCGAAAATAGTTTGAGAGAAATTTAACATTATCTGAATGAATATCTACATGCATCGATTTAACAAGCAACATTTGTAAATTTTTATTTATGCATTCTACAGGTCAAACGAGACGTCAGAAGAAAGCTAAGGGTCAGGAAACGAAAATACAATTGTAAAAGCTCATAAATTAATTCTGTTAATTAGTTTTTTCGCAAATGAAAATTTGGTTGAGTTATGGACATGCAGCTACCTCTACTTCGAAGAATTTAGATCAACGACATCTATGTTCCGTCGAGATGTGTATTTAATATAAACAATAGAATATTTAAAAAT